TGCTCTCCTTATGGGTGTTGAGCATATTGTTTGAATAATGTCTAACCATGGACTCACATCCTCTCACACAGAAAACTAAGTTAGTACAGGTCTCCAAACAGCCAACAAACAACAGAGGAATACAAGGAAGTTAGACATCATCTTCATCCACTCCTTCAGCTGTCCTTTGAAGGGAAAGCTCCTTTCCTCAAAACGGAAGCATCTTCTAGATTCTGATTTCAGAAGCTACTTTCAAGTCATTAATTCAAAATGGAGAGGCATCTCTACAATAGAGAATATTGCTCTACAAGCCTAAAAAAAAAAAAAGAATCCACACCAAAAAAACCAACCCCACTAACAAACAAAAAAACTCAAACTCACTAGGCAGATACAAACAAAAAAACTCAAACTCACTAGGCAGATGTACTTGCATTCTTGGTAGTTCTTTCCACCCAACACGCACATTTTGTTACAAGCACTAGGGATGGGGTCCATCCAACAAACTTGGATGTTTCAAGTTCTAGTAGAGGCCTATACCCCCAGCACATGTGCAAGCAGCACATCCTCCTTGTAAGGCACAGAGACAGAATTACAAAAGTATTCAAGTACCCATGTGTAGAGAATTATAAGAATGAAGTTCACTGGCATGTGCTATTAGCTAAATTCCCTACACTATAAATCAAAGTAGGAGCTTACAGTTAGGAAAGGGGAAGAAGAGAGGATATAAGAAAATACTGAGGAGTGAGATGTGACAAAATCTTGCTTTAAATGCAGTAAACTCTAAACATCCATCCTTCCTTTATACACTATGCTAGAAAGAAAAAAGCACTGGCATTTTTTAGACAAGTAGCTTTCTTGCCTGAAAGATGACTTCATAAAAGTTATAAAAGTATAAACAATCCTTTCAAGGTAACAAGCTTCCACGGAGCATCAGTACAGCATCACAAGTTTCACCTTTTCACCCAGATTTCTCAGCATCTCCCTGTGCTTCACAGCTGAAGACATACACCAGCTGTAATGTATGACAAGTTTTCCACTTCAAAATATATTAAGCCTGAAAGGAAACAAACTCCTTATGCTGGACCTACTCTTTCTGCCATGTAACTTGGGTTTCCTTGTTGCACTACTTCCAGGTAAACTATAGCTTTGAGTTTTCAGAGTAAAAGTCTCACTGGGTTCTTTATGAAATGCCTTTCTTAATAAATATGGGTAACAAGCAGCACAATAAGTAAAGGTCTCACTGTATACTCCATAATGTATTCATTTACTTCCAGTTCATGACTGACAGATCTTTGCTTAATATGCCCTTGAAAATGTCACGGGCAGAAATGCCACAACCTTACTGAGCAACCTCTTCCCATTGTTTGCTATTATTCTTAGAAAAACAGTAGGATTACTCGTTGGACAAGAATCCAGTTATTCTGGGCTACAGGATGCTAATGAGCTGCACTCAACACCCTTCACAGGGCTGTAAGATGAAGACCACCTATGTCTGACAAAGGAATGGAGTGCACAAGATACTGAATGTCTGCAAAAAAGACACCTCTCATCTATGTGATACATCTGGGAATGCAGGTGAGCATCAGCAGCCTCTGCTGACCTTTCTTCTCTCAGTGCTTGAGGGACCAGGAGTTCCTATAACAGAAGACATGCTGTACATGACAAATGCAATTTGCATGTGACATAGCTGATCTGTTCATAGGCCACTCTCCAGCAGCACATCAGCACATTGCTTAACTCACAGCAACAATCCCTGATCTCCTGGGAACTTGCACACCACAATCCAAACACAATCAGACAAAGCAAAACAGAAAGAAAAGTATCATCACATTCCTGCAGCAAGCCAAGAAGGCACCACCAACAGCTTTAACAGTTAAATATCTAGCATTAAAATGTTTTTTTCAGTATTAAGGTTTCTTCCAGAAGTAAGTCAGAACACAAAACAGGGCTACTGAATTATCTTTAAATAACCACAAGCCTATATTCAGTGAACTCACAGTATGCTCAATACTCAGTATCAGACTTCCAAGGGATGCTGCCATAACAGATTCCTTCAAACAAGGAAGAAGCAAGGGAACGGGCAGCACAAATACATAACCAGTACTTACAGGGGACCAGTTACCAAAAGTTTGTTTCGTTATTACAGGTGCTGTTTTAGTTACAGGTTGATTTTAATGTACAAGACCCACCCAGAGAGAGGTCACAGTCTTCCCTTTGCCAGCAGCAGCTGACAGTCACAGCCTATCTGGCAGCTCTTGTCAACCAGTCAAGATTCTCAGATGGTCACAATAACATCAGGCTGACCTGAAAAACCATGAAATGACACTGGAGAGCAAACTAATCACAAAATCCTATGGGAACAGGAGGAGGCACAGTATGTAAAAAAGCTTCTGCTGCTCACACAGTGCCTTTGTAATGAGACAGTAACCTCTGTTTCTTTCGCTTTTTTATGCTGAATACCTTTTACCAGTGCACAATTCTAGCCATAAGCAGGAAAATGTTTCTTTTCCCATAAAAGTCTCCAGAGACAAATAAAGCTTGTAAGAAAGAGACTTTTTGCCTGGGCCTGCAATGAAGAAGCAAGAACAAAGGTTTTAAACCAAAGAAGGTAGGTTTAGATTGGACATAAGGAAGACATTTTTTTTTCTGATGAGGCTGGCAAGATGCTGGAACAGGTTGTCCAGATCACAGGGAGTTTTCAAGGTCAAGCTGGACAGAGCTTTGTGAGCAACCTCACAGCAGCTTTCCAGTACCTGAAGTGAGCCTATAAAAAAGATGGAGGAGGACTTTTTACAAGGGCTCATAGATGTAACTCTGAGGTGCAATTCTCCCCATAGAAGTCAAGGGAAAGCATAAAAGATGTAATGGACAGGACACTGGAATTTTATTCCAAATGAGAGCACACAGTGGTAAAGATTTCCAGGTTCACCGATCACAAACTCAACTCAATATGGCTAGGAGGAACAAGGGCATTTGTTTTTCAATAACATGTAGTGTTTACATGACCATGTACTTCGCCAGTCCATTTATTTAATGTTTATTCCCCTTTTGAAACTTAAAAACAAAATAAAACCCCTTGGCTTTGCTTAGGCAAGGAGGAACTGAATAGAACAATGAAGTCCACAGGGACTATAAATCCATCTGCAAGCTGGTAGATCACAAGACACAAGTTTTTAGAATGAGCTCCTAAAAGGTCTTGAAACTTTTTCACCCTTTCCAGAAACACGATCTTGCATGGGAAGAATACCGATAAGAGACCAGTCCAAAACAGAACAGTTCCACATGTGGGCCTGTGGTAGATCTGCCATCTCTCAAGAGTGAACTCACTCAACAGGCCCACACTGCTTTCTGTAGTGAACACAAGTATGACAGTCTGGTTGTTCAAGTAATAACAAGTACTTGAGGCTGAAAAAGGTGTTCACAAAAGTGATTCAACATGCAAAACTCTTGAGCAGACACCACCACATCTCAGGAGACTTGTGGGGAAACAGCAGGCCAAGTGAGAAGAACAAAAGAGAATGTGTCTATCATACATCCACAGCTTCAGGTCCAATGTAAGGCCAGAAAAAGCAACTCAGTCACCAAGACAAAGTGTGCACTTAAAGGAGTTGGAGGATCTGGACTGGTCTTCTAAGGGAACCAACCTTTCCATCTCAGACACATGGCTGCTGCTCTCTATTTTTTCTCACTTCCCACCTCAAGCCCTGGACCCTTGAGACTCTAACAACCTCACAGGAACACCACCTCTCGAAGTGATCACCAGTCTTGCTTCCCAGGACTTCCTTTCACAGGGCTTGTGCAACCAAGGTTTGCTCATGAGTTTTAGGCTGGGTGGAACTGAAAGTCTTTGTCATCACACTCTTACACACACACGACTTTGGTGCCAGGTGTTGTAGCATCTTCTAAATTTGTTCTTTCATATTAAAACTTCCTCATTTCTTTTAGGGATTTGGATTCCAGCATTCACATTTCAAGCTGTCACAAGCATGACCCTGTTTCTGCCTTACACATGAAGCAGGACAAAGCATTTGCTTTACAAGCAAATCGTGTTGTGCTTTTTCTCATGACCTCCCTATCTCTCTGCCCCTTCTGCAGGAAACAGCAGTCAGTGCCATGGACATCCAGAACCTACTCATAAAATAAAATGCCCAATAAAGGTTTAAATGTTTGGCCCAATAGGCTATCATAATGTCTACAAGTTCTTGTCATGTTCCAGGACCCTCATACAGCAGGCATACACAAACAAACAAAAAGTAAATATTTTCTGTCCAAAAAAGTGGTGATGTGATGCTACCTCTAGTAGATTGCCTCTAGTCACGCCTTTTCAGATACTAAGACCACTCCGCATTCTCCTCCAAAAGAGATAGCTAGAAGCTAGGCCACAAAACACACAAGCAGTTTTTGTTAAACTGCAGGCTCGACAACTTTGAAATCTTCACTTCCCTTTGCACAGAACAGAAGAAACAAAGAATGAGTGCAAGGGATGAAAGAAAAAGAAAAAAAAAAAGAGTGGGAGAAAAAAGAAATAAAGAAAAATCTTAGCCCATCTACCCCACTGCAAAAAAAATAAAATCTGCTCCGTGCCAGAAACTCACACAAGGTACCTTGGTTTCAAGCAGCTGAATGGATAAACAGGTAGCTACGACTCAGAGTAACACACAACTGTGTTTAAAAGACTAGAGCAAAACAGGAGACTGTCATCCATATATATTAGAATATAACACAGCATCTCTCATCAAACAGTGGTACAGGGCAAGGTGGTATGCTTAGGGCTTCTCTGTCTTCACAATAGATAGTTCCATTGCAAAGAACATTACCAGCACACCTCTAAACCAGTTCACCCACTGTTTAGAAGGCTGGGATTAATTATGGCATAACAAAAGAGAGTAAGGTTTAAAATAAGAGGGGAAGTGAAAAATAGGGACAAAGATACGAACTTTGGCAGAAACCTCAGGATACACGAACTCCATTAGGTACAAAAAAAGAAGGCATTTAAAAGCAGAGGAATAACAATCACTTACCTTTCAAAAGGGGCTGGAAAGTTGGAATCTCCTGCAGTTTTATGACATCTGGATCATTGCTGACATTCCTTGAGGATTGTGTTCCTGGGGCTACGACCACAATGTCGTCCATTTTTGCTCGTTGCTTGGCTGGCAAAGGAGATGCTGGATATGGGAGGGAGAGGGAACAATCAACTTTTTAAGCAGATTCCACCAGAATCCAACCCTTTGCGAATACTGCTCTATCGAATATTGCTCAGGTATGCTTTTTATAGCACATTGCCGAGATCACTGAAGGGCTCTAAGCTCCTTTCCGTCTTCCCACAGGAGAGCAGCTGATTCCGGAACGCCTGCACCACTGACTCGCTCCTGCTCCCCCAGCTCCGCACCCGTGCCCAGGGCGCTCCGCATCCCCGGCTCTGCTCCCCCGGCCCGGGCCGTGCCCCCGCGCCGCTACAGGAAGGGCCGGGCCGGGCCGCGCCACCGCTGCCTCCCCGAGAAACAGCCCTTCCCTTCTCCACAGCCCCTG